ATTGCAACCTCTGCCTCCTGGGTTCAAGCAATTCTCCTGCCTCAGCCTCTCAAGTAGCTGGGACTACCAGGCGCGTGCTACATTCCCAGCTAATGTATTTTTTTTTAGTAGAGACGGAGTTTCACCATGGTGACCAGGATGGTCTTGATCTCTTGACCTTCTGATCTACCTACTTGGCCTCCCATAGTGCTGGGATTACAGGCGTGAGCCACCACACCCGGCCAGAAAGACACTCTTTAGTAAGAAATTTAGTTATCTATGGTAGTAAATAGTAACATGGGTTTGATATGAAATGGAGCATTGTAGCAATAATGTTTTTGACAGTTATAAATAAAGAGCTTGAACTAAGTAATTGGTTTGACAGATTTACTTTTGTCAAATTTTGCCACCCAAATCTGAGGCCACTAACAGGGAAAAGATTCAGACATTGCCTGTTAATGCTCACTTAATATTAGTTAGCTTTTCAGATATTTGAGAGAAGGAATTTATTGTCAGAATTCATTTTAAATCAGCAATGCTCTTTTATATAGAAAGATACATAATACTCAGATTTTAAGCCTCATCTTTCTTTCTTACTTATTTTCCCCTCAAGAGAGAAAAAACTGCTGCCTGATTACAAATCCTGCAGTACATATGTTGAATCTAATTACATGTTCCATATTGTGCCTTGCCAACAAATACATGTTAATAATAATGAATAATCAACCTTCCTTAACAAGAGCAACACAAAATGTGTTTCTGCCATTTCCCATGATAGATAGACCCAGGAGTGCATCAAAGATGGTATCCTCACCACATCAGTTCCCCATGACTTATTAACAGCAACCTACATCACAGATGATGAACTGTGAAATTGATGGGCACTACAGGGAATTTGAACTGAGCTTTCAGGCTAGGGAAGAGCAGTCTCACAATATTCACCTGCCTTGTTCATTGGCTCATTGGTTTCCCCTAAGGCCTCTGTTTATAATGCTCTGGAAAATGTTTCCTGGCTAAGTTAATGTATATGCTACTGTATCTGGCTAGCAACCAGATTGTTAGAATAAAGCTTATAGGGAATTTTACTATATCCTGTTCCCCAGCTGATAATAAGAAATCTGAGCCATGTAAGAACTGACTGAACAGAGAATGAATGCATGAAATATTTGTGTGTCATTATGAGCGTATCTTTCACTGCAGAAGATATTATGGATGCTAAAGGGGAAAATGCTGTGCTATTGTCACCTTCCATCTTTTTTTCATTAACTTTTAGAGATTAGTTTGTTAGTGATTCCCACATTTAATTGATGTTGAATGAGTCTTTTATAATAGAAGTATTAATTTATAATTTATATTTGATTTATGAATTGCTTGAATAGTCAAATATCAATTAATTTAGCAGAGTCTGAAAGTATAATGTATACTATATCCCTATAACTTATTTCAGAAATTTTCATTTACTTCTAGAACTATTTTCCTCCTGCTTTATTTGAAAAATCAAGATATGATTATATTGCTATAGCATTGGTAGAAAAATTCCGGAGAGGCAGTAAAGAGGCATATAAGCAAAACCCAAGTTTTCGAGCAGGCATGAATTTAAAGCTGTATCCTAGTTACTTAATCTCAGGCAAATTAGCTAACCTTTCCAAGCCTTAAATTTCTTAGCTTGGAGAATCACAATATTTACCTCACATCCTTCAGTAAAATAATGTGTAAAGTAACTTGCATAGTGCCTAGCTTTACTTTCTCCTCTCACCTAACACTTTGATATTTTTGTTGAGGCATAAACAGTGGAATATAAATGTTAGCATTATCTGATATTTTATTTCATCATGATATT